ACATCAGTCAACCCCCAACCCGGCTGATAAAAAAATGAAAAAAAAAAAAAAAAATATTTCTGTGGTTATTTTTACACTTCAATGGTTGGAGTTTGGGAGGGGGAAAGAAAAAGGAAAAAAAAAAAAAAATAGGAGGCTGGAACTCGTATTTTGAAAAGCTGATTTTTAAAAGTTTAGCAAGTCTTCTTCGTTTATAAGATTGGTGCAACACAGTCTTCCTCACACTTTTTCATTTCTCCTAAGCTAGTTATTTCTTAGTGTCACTAACCTAGAAACAGCTATTAAGGCAGAGATCAAAATTTCCTAAGAGATGCCCGTTTTCATGAGGAAGATTAAAGATATTTTTACCTGCTTTCATATGGGTAAAAAAGTTTTAAAACTTATTTACAGAATTACTTACCACTTGCCAAATAAATAAATAAAAATTTAAATTAAAAAATTTAAAAGAAAATAAGGAAAAAAAAAGGAAAAGAAAATAGAGAAAAATAAAATAAATATGGTTCTGCCATGGGAGTCTAAAAATTTAATTTAATATACTTTTTTTTTTTTTTTAACCAATTATTATTTATTGCATTTTGCTCTTTCAGTGAGTCGGTATTTTCACTTTCTGGCTTTTGAATTTATTTAATTTCCATAATTCCTTAAAAAAAAAAGAAAATATTTTATATCCAATTTCCAATTTTGTATAAAAAAATGAGGAAGGTTAGACAGAGTAATTAAAAAAAAATATAACTTGTATATTATTTCAAAAGAGTCTTGAATTGAAACTGAAGACAGTGTCTAACTGAGAACGACTTGCTGTTTTAAAACAATGAACATCTCATAAATAAATAAGTTAAATAAAATAATTCTAAAATTTAATTCAACTTACCTCAGGAAGAAATGACAAATTTTCGGCAAACAAGAAACAAAACAAACACCTTTTTTCTATCGTTTGAAATGACACGAAAACCATAGTGTTGGGTGATTTGACCCATATCGGTAGATAAAGTAAAAACTTTTTTCCACGCCTCTTTGGTCGGGGAATCTTTTAAAAGCAAAAAGGAATCTCGCCCAACCGAATAAGTTCCACTCCTTTCATCCACAGTGTGAAGCACTGAAGATGGAGGATGCGTCATATTGACAAGAGGAAGAGGAAACAGAGAAGAGAGGTGTGATGAATAGAATATATATATATATATATATATATATATATATATATATATATATAGAAAAGAGAGAGAGGAGAGAGAGAGAGAGGGAGAAGAGGAACAGAGAAAAGAGGAGAAAGAGAGTGAGAAAGAGAGAGAGAGTGAGAAAAGAGAGAAAGAGAGAGTGAAAGAGAAAGAGAGAGAGTGAAGAGGAGAAAGAGAGAGAGGTGAAGAGGAGAAAGAGAGAGAGGTGAAGAGGAGAGAGAGTGTGAAGAAAGAGAGAGAGTGTGGAAGAGGAGAAAGAGAGAGAGGTGAAGAGTGAGAGAGAGAGAGGTGAAGAAGAGGAGAGAGAAGAGGAGAAGAGAGAGTGAAGAGGAGAAAGAGAGAGAATAGTGAGAGAGAGAGGAAGAGAATGAGGTGAAAAATTGAAAGAAGAGGAGAGAGGTGAAGAGAGAGAGTGGAATAGTGAAGAGAAGAGAGAGAGTGAATAGTGAAGAGAGAAGAGGAGAGAGAGGAAGAGAATAGTGAAAGAGAGAGAAAGAGAGAATAGTGAAAAGAGAGAAAGGAGAGAGAGGTAGAATAGGAAGAGAGAGAGAGAGTGTGAATAGTGAAGAGAGAGAGAGAGTGTGAATAGTGAAGAGAGAGAGAGAGTGTGAATAGTGAAGAGAGAGAGAGAGTGTGAATAGTGAGAGAGAGTGTGAATAGTGAAGAGAGAGAGAGTGTGAATAGTGAAGAGAGAGAGAGTGTGAATAGCGAAGAAAGAGAGTGTGAATAGCGAAGAAAGAGAGAGAGTGAATTGCGAAGAAAGAGAGAGAGTGAATAGCGAAGAAAGAGAGAGAGAGAGAGAAAGAAAGAAAAATGACTTTGAAAAGTAAGAAAATGAAGCCAATGAGAGAGGAAGAAGTTACCTTTTATCCTCAATCTTTGAGAACAGCTTTTATCAATTTATTTTTGACGACTGACAATGAATGAAAACTCGTCAACATATGACATCGTCCTCGTGTGGGTCCTCATGTCTCCACACGTGCCCATCAAAGCAAAAAAAGTAACGGCTGAATTCATAGACTCCATAATGAGAAATAAGTTTCAAACTTTGGAAAAAAAAAAAAAAAAAAAAAAATCAAAAAGACAACGGAATAGAAAATGTTTCTTACAGAGCAATGATTAGCTCGATTTTCCAACTGCTGCAAGTGTCAGCCTTATGCCAGCTAAGCTAAGCAAATACCTTTTTTTTGCATAGGGTTTCATTTATCTTGTAGTCTTGGCTTTTGAAAATATTGTAATGCAACACCAGAAGGAATAAAGCAAAATTGTATTATCACTAATTAGTATTAATAAATAATTTCAACGCCATGAATGAAAATGTGTTTTCAATAAAAAAAAAAAAAAAAAAACTTCCATAGAATTTATAGAAAAGTCAACACGTGAAAATGTAAAACGTAAGCACAACAAAACAGAATCTACACCACATGGAGGGGTGTTGCATAGTTCTCAGGGGGGAGAAAAGAAAGAAAGAGGAAAAGGGGAGAGGAAAAAGGAAAAGGAAAACATTATGATGTTTGTCAAAATTTTAGAAAGTGGGTTGTGACAGGAGTTTTCTTGACAGCTCACTTTCTAAAGTTCTGAGGAAGGGTACTGAAAAGTTTTCGCACCAAAACCTTAGATTAAATATATATATATATATATATATATATATATATATATATATATATATATATATATATAAGACATGGAAAACTTATCTTAGCCAATGTATTTCATCCTCTGAGGGACTTTATCAAAGCAAATGTAAGGATTTTGTTTTGTGACAAGTATTTACATACAAGAGCAAAAATATTGGTTTTCAAAATTTTTGGTATAGGAATGCTCATGAATATTCAACAGGTTAGCAGAAAGGTCAAGCAAGTTCATGGGTGTGAAGTGATACAGTTCAACTTGACAGAGTGAACCAACTTTTCTATCAGTAGATGTAGCAATTGATTCAATATAGTCGCTCCACCTCATGTCAGTGGAAAACCTGAGCTCAAGAATGGCAGGCAGAAAAGGTTCTCTGTAGTGATTAAAGGAAAGTAGTTTTGTTTTGTAGGTTTTCAAATTTACAAGCCATTTCTTGCCCTTGTTAACCACTGATTGGAGGTCCTATTCGAGAGCAGTGTATGTAATCCTTTGGATGGTTTGAATACATTTTTTTTTTTTTTAATTATTTCACCCCAAGCAAGGCTGCCACTAGAAGTGGAGGGATTTAAAAGGAGTGAAAAAGATGGCAAAGACTTTAGTAAGATGTGAAGAAAGGACAGGTTTTAGAAAGACTGAAGATAATAATTACCATTGCATTTAAATTTTTAAAGATTGTAGTTGGCAGGGAAGCAAGAAATCAGAAAGAACTTCCACAAGTGAAGAAAGAAACTGTTAGAATAGATGAGATGCTTGTATCTAACTAGTTCAAAAGTAAAAAGGTGAGACCTACTTGCCAATCAAGTAGCATGTTTAAATTAATGCAGTTGAGGCACTAAGGAAAAAGCTCATCAGAACAGTTGACATGAAAATATTTGTAGAAAAGACAGATGGAAGCTATACCAAATCAGTGAGAAAGTGACTGAAGTAGTGACGTCAGATCAGAATTGATAATATTATTGACTCTTGTTTCAATTTTATCAAAAATCTCGAGATATAGCAGGAGTGCCAGACCAAATATGGCAGCAGTATTCAAGGCACAGACAAATGAGAGATTTACAAATGTGTAAAATGGATTCTGACGAGAACTGACATGACACAGTGAACCAACTTTTCTGTCAGTCAGTGTAGCAATTGATTCAATATAGTCGCTCCACTTCATGTCAGTGGAAAACCTGAGCTCAAGAAGAAGCAAAGTGTTGCTCTCCTGGAGTTTAGCATCAGGTATGCTAATGGCAGGCAGAAAAAGTTCTCTGTGGTGATTAAAGGAAAGTAGGTTTGTTTTGGGGGTTTGTCGAATTTCTTCTTTAGAAATGTTCTTTCAAGATCAGCTCCACATAGCTACACCCAGAATATGAAATGCGAGCAGACTTAGAATGGCAAAAAAAAAACTTTAGGAAATGTTTATACCGAAGCTTTTAGAGAGGTAAGGGAACTTCAATGACAACTGAACTTTTCTCTCTTCGGAGAACAGGTATTTGGTTAGTATTAGAAAAAGTAAGAATATACAAATATTTCTACTGCATCCTCTATTTCTCTATATATATTCTTCTTCTATGTGCCATGTTCTTTTAGGATGTGGGTGATCATGGCTCTCCACTCTTTCCTTTCTTTTGCAGCTCTAAGCAGTCTTTGTTTGTCTTTTTTTGACCAGTCTTCTAATCATTGTTCTGCCAACCATCTACATATGTCATGAAGTAGGTTATTCTATGCTTCCCTGTCTGGGTTGGCCAAATGTTTATTCGGTTTAAGTGAATTTTCTATATAATAACTGAACAAACTTTTTGGCCAACCAAATATTAATATATGAGCAGCAGTTTTCGGAGAGTAATTTTATTTTAAGTGTTCACTCCTTCACTCATATCAATCATCGTGACATGCCATTAACGAGACTGTTTTGTAAAGATATCTGGTGATGGGAGGGAGTGCAGGTATGTAGCTTCATGTCTTTCACAAAGGGTATAAGTATTAAGTAAACACAAGCAGCCTCAGATGAAATTCAAACCCTGACCCTTTCCAATAATACTGCTGAGTTAAATTAAACTGCACAAATAAAGATATGCTAAAAATTCGGTTGGTTGGTGGTGGAGTGGGGGAAATCAAGAGAGCGAGGAAGAAAACACGCACAAACCTGAAGAATTGCTTATAAAAGGTAGCTTGAGAAAAAGACCCAGACCATAAACCCCCACCCACCATCACAGCATACAATGTCACCATGGCTACAAAAACCTCGGCAACATTTACTCACTTTCATGTTGCTGTGAATTCATTAGTGAAAAACGCCCTGCCTCTGATAGGGACCCCACCCAGCAAAATAAGAAGGGAGCAAAAAAAAAAAAAAAAAAAAGAGGAGTGAGGGGACAGTTTAGAAAACAAAAGATTTTCTTTCAGGCAATTAAAGGACAGTAAAGTTCGGCTCAAAAGAGAAGGGCGATGTCACTATCAGTAATTCCTTTTTGCAAACAATAAGCTTGTGATGGTTTTTAAAAGAAGAAAGGTGATAGCCATGTTGAGAAGGAGGACATCTGATAACATGCAGATGAGGATTCTTAATTCCTCTTTTCAGTTATGCAACTAGCAAGGTAATAGTGTTGCCTGGGAAAGATTAGGATGATTTTTGTGATGACTGCTTGTCAAATCAATGAACTGCAGTTGCCGTGACCTGTTATTTGGCCATCTATTACTCTAAAACGAGAGAAGGGAGATACGTGGGTTATGAAATTGTTTTGAGTCAAGTAGGCCACACCAAAACAAACAGGGCATATCTCATCTGTCTATATTTCCGAGATGAGGTATTGTAACTATTTACATTATTTATATTGTTTGGACTGTTGTCATATTCACAACATTTCGGCTGTTGTACACTCCGACCTTCATCAGGTGATATACGTCAGAATTTCAAACTGAACCTACAGGGGTAGCCGAGGCCAATTTTGAATTCAGAGATTTTCCTTCTCCTAGACCGGTTGCCACCCAGCCTGTCTGTCTTCTTCCCCCACAGCTGGGGGAAGAAGAAGGGATTCATACCTTTGCCAAGTGTATTAGCACATAAGTGAATATAATGGATGTGACTGGAGTTTGAACTCGGTTCTCCGATTCCTCAATCTGAGCTGCTATCCATTACTCCACTGTATCTCCTACACTATAACTGGCTTAATATTATATTTATTTGTCCAGTGCATTGAAATTCGAATTGCTGATAAGTGGATGAAATATTGCCAGCTTAATTCCATTTTAAATCATACTTGTTTCATTGATGTCAGGTTAAATCTTTGGCAATGTTTAACCCTCATGCCTGCAAAAAAAAAAAGAAGAAAATGTGTGTGTGTGTGTGCGTGTGTGTGAAAAGGATGGTTATTCCCCTGGCACCACTACTATTGTATAGTACACTTAACACCCTTGACAGTGTTCATTTACAAGATTATCAAAATATGTGAACCAAATACAATGCAATATTTATTATTTATGATTTTATAAAAGAAATAAATTGGAAAAGTAATCTTTTATTCAAAAATTTACAAAATATGTAAGAGGAAGAGCTGCTTTCAACCTATTTTAGTGAATCTGTGGTGAGAACAAATGAAAGAAATGCTCCAAAAATGCATCCCCTCCCCAAATTCACAATTACATTTTGTTAATTGTCATTATATTTTAAATTTTCTTGTTCAGTTATTTTTATAAATTAATGAATAAAAAAGTTCTTTTCATATTTATCTCTTTATGAAATGGCAAATAATAAAACATTTCATTCTAATTGGTTCACATATTTTTATATTTTTGTAAATATAAAATTATTGTAAATAAGCAAATAAGTCTTTATTATTTTTGTTAATTCTCAAGGATAAAAAAAATGTATAAATTTACTTTTATATGTTTGGGCTTTATTAAAATTCTAATCATTGCTCTTTAAAAACAAAAAAACATTGTTGAGGACATTAAAGGCGTATATACAGTAATAGATATGTCAAGGGAATAATGGTCCTTTTGACATGCCGTTTTCGTGCGGGCACAAAGGTTAAACATTGACATTTTTTTTTTCCTTATATTTTCTTTAATAAGGCCTTTTAAAACTGTATAAAGAACTTATTGTATTTTACCCTAAAGTGTCATACTTGAATCACTTTTGCCTCAGCTGTTTTTATGCATTTTCTTAAAAAAAAAAAAAAAAACGAACTGAATTTATATTATAAAATAATAAAAAAATACTGGAAAAATTTTTAGTTCACTATTTACATTATTCGGACTATTGTCCTCATCTTTGTTGCCATATTTATTACAACGTTTCAGCCGTTGTATGCTCCAGCCTTCTTCAGGATCTGTCTATATTTCTGAGATGAGTTATTCTATACACTATTGACATTATTTGGACTCATCTTTGTTGCCATATTTATTACAATGTTTCAGCCGTTGTACGCTCCAGCCTTCTTTAGGTGGTTGGAATATCAAACTGAACACTTTATTTCACTCACTGAAGTAGACTATTCTAGTTCCACTAGAATTCTAGTTCTAGTTTAATGGATGTCATTTATCAGTTATCTCCTGTTAATTCCCTTCTCCAAGTTCTCCACTGCCTTAACCGGGTATTGAACTCACACTCTTTGGGTCTTTATCCACTGAGTCATGTGTCCTTGAGGACATCTGTGTATGAATTTCTGGGTATTATAAACCTAATACCTGGTTAAGGTAGTGGAGAACTTGGAGGGGGAAATTAACAGGAGATAACAGATTACTGACATCCATTAAACATGGCACATGGAACTAGAACAGTCTACCCCAGTGAGTGAAATAAAGGGTTCAGTTTGACATTCCAACACCTGAAGAAGGCCGGAGCATACAACGGCCGAAATGTAATAAATATGGCAACAAAGATGAGGACAATAGTCCAAATAATGTAAATAATGTATATAATGCCTCATCTCAGAAATATAGACAGCTACTTATATTTTTAGTTCTTTAAATTTCACTCTCACACATTTGTCCATAAAAAATGAAAATAAATTTTTTTAGTAAAGTATCCAGTTTTCCTTTAAATGGTCTTTCATTTCATTTAAATTTTGATTGGTAATATTTTCTGTAATTCTTGGGATTTGGGGATTAAATTGAAAATTTATTTACATGCTTTTAAAAAAATGAAACTGGATACATTTTATAAAAAAATAAAATAAAAAATGAACTGGTTATATGTTTTAGCTTAACTGAATGTAAAAAGTCTAAATGTCATTTTGTAATTTTAAAAATGTAATCACTTTCTTTTTTGATCATTTGTTTACTAATTCTTGGAATTAATGTTCTATTTCTGAGATTAAAATAAAATTGTTACATTTTTCTTAGAAAAAAAAAGGATACATTTTATATAGTTCATAAACTTTTGCCAAAATGCATTGTCTTTTCATAACTTATCTTCTTTAAGCCCTTATGGAAGATAAGCATAATATTGTTTTTTGAGGTAGATATCTGTTCATTTTTTATTCTCTTTTCGTATATTAGTGCTTTCCCTATCAGAGACACCTACCCAAGTCTTTAATAAAATTTATATTTAATCTTCTATTAAGTGGATGATAAACTCCACACCCTGAGAATTAGTTTTCTTCTAAGTCAGTGAAGCAGGTTAAAGAAGACCCCAAATTCTTTGCAATGTATGCTGATAAAGTTAAAAACTATGATGAAGGGAAAAGACATTACATTTAGTGATATAACTTGGTTTCATCTCCATCTCTAAAAGCCTGCTGCCTTCTCTGGTTTCTTCAATATGACTTGTGGATGTCAAGTTTTCCAAGCCATCCTTCCTTTGAATTTTGCTACATGTGATTTTTGGGTTAGGTTGAGTAGATTTTAGGAAATGTCAATCCCTGTTGGGTTATTTCATGTCAAAAATATACTTTTCATAGGTTTAGACTTTAAACTGGAGAGTTGGCCCTCTGGGGAAGGGTTACCCATCTACAAGGGAAGTAACTGGTGTATTCTAGGCCACATCAGCAGGGTAAGTGACTTTTTGAGGCTACTTCATAAAATGAGCTGGGCTAACTTGAGTTACTGAGAATAAATTTACTTGCAGTATGTTTCAAAATGTCGTCCAATCCTAGTCTGACAAAACCGTGACAATTTGTGATCTTAAAAACAAATGTCATTGTTTACAGGATTCAAACAAAAACAACTATCTCCTCAGACATAGTGTGGACATATACGACAGCGACTAAATGCTTAAAACAGATCAAGAAGGAAGAAGAGAGAAAAAAAATTTGTATATATTTCCCCATCCATTCAAACCCTATATTCAGTGGCATATAATATTTTAATAGCTGTGATGGCTGGGGCACGTTCCTTTGTTATTTTGAAACTGTTTTTGACAGGGTGGGCAACATACCACATTGCAGAATTTGAACAGATTTTGTCTGAAGAAACTCTTTAACTTGTAGGGACATTATTATTAATAATCAACTACTACTACTACTACTACATAATGATAACTACTACTACTACTACATAATGATAATCAACTACTACTACATAATGATAATAATAATAATAATAAAATCGTAAATAAAATAAAACAAATAACATTAAAACTGTTTAAAATAAAATGAATAAAACTAAAATAATAAAATTCACCCAGCATGCAACAGAAAACTTTCCTTACTGAAAATGTATAGATTGGGCCAAAAATGCCAAAGTGACTCTCTTTGCTAGGACCCTCAAAGGCTCAAGAGACGTTCTTTCACTTTTACATGCAACCTTAAAACACATAACTAAAATATATATACACCAGTACACAGAAATAAATAAAATTATATTATTTTAATTTGCAATTTAACATGCTTTTAGTGTTATTTCTTTGTTTTTATTCCGATGAACATGAGGCTATGCCTGTTGGTATGATGTGGGTGACTTCACAAGCTTAAGGCTTATAGATTGTGATTTGTACCACTCAAAAATGTTTTGTTCAAGAACTTACAATAATAATCTGGATTTTTTTTTAAGCATTTCACCCCAAGCAAGGCGGGAAGCGACTAGGACGCAAGGGGTTACAGAAAATTTAGGGCAAGATCAGATAGGAGTGATAGAAGAAAGGATGAGGAGAAGGGTAGTGGATAGATCAAGGCAACTGGAGATATCGATTGACATTAACACTTGAATAGCTGGAGATTATAGCTCTCAGGGAAACTGGAATAGGGAAGGGAGTTCCACAGGCGAGAGGT